TCCAATCCCACCAGGCTCTAGGTTGACTCAGCCTTCCATCCTTCCAAGGTGGGTAAAATGAGGACCCAGATTATTGGGGGGAATAGGCTGACTCTGTAAACCACTTGGAGAGGCTCTATAGCACTGTGAAGCGGTATATAAGTCAGTGCTCTTGCTATTTCCCCAAGAGTTTGTTTTAAATCCATAATCAACCCATAATTCTCCTGAAGTATGAATTGGTTTATTATTGTCGTGAAGGCAGCTGTTGCTAACCTGGAAATGGTTAGGCATCCCCCTCTATATGCAGATTTATGCAAATCAAGGTATACATATGATGAATTCAATAAAATTAGATGGCTTACAGCAGTGTATTTTACGGGTCATGTTCAATAAGGGTGGAACAATGAAGTCATACGACTTGGCATTACAAAGACAATAGCTTTTTGAATCAATCAAGAACTATTTTCTTGGAACTGATGTGTTATTTCACTGGATGGTCTGCCTTCTAGTGTTTTAGTCCCTATTTATTATGACCAAATGTTTCTGTGGCTGTGGAAAGAGGTTTTTTTTTTTTCTGGGAAAGGTGGACTTAGGAGTAATTTGCAAACACTAATGCTGTATTTTCTATTCCTCCAGCATCACACTTCCAGCATAATTTTAATACATTCTCCTCTCCCGAGATCTGCGCCAAAGCGAAATGCATCCCAAGCTTTTAATTTCATGTTGGAAATGTTCATTACATTGGATGAACATTTTCACTGGGCAATTCAACACTGAATTGGAAAGGGAAATCCAGAGACAGAGAGGAGAAAATTTTGTTGTTGATGTTGTGCTGTGATAGGGAAAAGAAAAATAGGAATAAAAGAATAATATGAAATAGCAGTGCTATAAAGGTAGGGGGAAAGATCTGAGGATTTGAGCAAGATACAGGGTGTCTCTTTTAACAACCGGAACTTAGGGGGTGGGAGAAAAGCCCCTTAAGTGATAAATGATTTACCTGTATTTGTGTATTTTCTCTTCCTCTCTCTTTAGGCAACTCTGGATCCTCCATCTGATTCCCCTGTGCTTACCAGCCATCACCATAAGATTGAGGAGCGACTAATGGAGATGCAGAAGACAGTTCAGGTGAGAGTGGGAAGCCTGGCAGTGCTTTTTAGCCCTTTCATGCAACATTATAGGTTGCTTGTTGTTGTAGTTGTTAGTTGCAAAGTCGTGTCCGACCCATTGCGACCCCATGGACAGCGTTCCTCCAGGCCTTCCTGTCCTCTNGGAAAAAGGTTAGCCATCACTAATGTAGACATTCTTTTGAAAGGGGACACGTGTGATACAAAAGAATTACTTTTCTCAGTTGTTCAATGTTCTTACAAAGGGTTCCTGATGTCTTTCCTTGCTTAGGTGTGCGAGGTTCAGCAGAACATTCCAACATGTCCCAATGGCAACAAATTCAAATGCTGGACAAGGTTCACATGGACCAGATAGATTTTCTCTACTCAGATGACACCTTACCCATGGAAGTGCGTCAGTATTTAGCCTACTGGATTGAGGAGCAAAACTGGTAATGCTTATTTCTATCATAGTCATTTCAATGAAAGTAATTTGTCTTTGATTTGCTGGTTTTTATTATTTACTAGCCGATAACCTGGTATTGGCCGGATATTTATTTATAGTGGGGAAATGTCCGGACCAAACGTAATTTCTAATGTTGGATTTTCCCGCTTACCAGAGGGAGCCCCCTTGTGGAGTACTGTGAAGCTGTTACCATGGCAACTCCACTGTGTTGTACAGTAGAAGCCAGTATGGCAGTACAGCACAACAGGTTATATCTTAACAGAACAGACACACCGAGGGGTGTCTTACCCACACAGTATTTTTCTCCAGAGAGTAAGTCATATGTGTACCAAGTTTGGTTAAAATTGCTTGAGGCGTTCTAGAGTTACATCAGTACAGTAGAAGCCATTTTAAGGTACAACAGGCTGTATGTTAACAGAACACCCCCTCCCTCAAGGGGTGTTTGGGGTGTCTTACCCCCACAATATTTTTCTCCAGAGGGTTTGATTGAAATTGCTTGAGGCATTCCAGAGTTATGCTGGAACATACACACAAACACGTTTATATATATATATATATAGATCATTGTGTATATCTTTCTATACAATGGATCCCCCCCCAGCTATGAATGAAAGTCTTGCTGACGTTCATCATGTGGTGTAAGCTAACTCTGAAATTATAGACCCTAAATATAGTACAGGTAGTCTTTGATTTACAACAGTTCATTTACTGACTGTTCAAAGTTACAGCAGCACTGAAAAAAGTGACTTACCACTATTTTTCACACAACTGTTGCAGCATCCCCATGGCTATATGATCAAAATTCAGACCCTTGGCAAATGATTCATATTTATGACGGTTGCAGTGTCCTGCGGTTATGTGCTCCCCTTTTGTGATCTTCTGACAAGTAAAGTCAGCGGGGAAGCCAGATTCATTTAACAATCGTGTCACTAACTGAACAACTGCAATATTTCACTTAACAGCTATGGCAAGAAAGGTCCTAAAATGTGGCAAAACTCACTTAATAAAGGTCTCTCTTAGCAACAGAAATTTTGAGCTCAATTGTGATCATAAGTCAAGGACGACCTAAACAAATGGATGGTCCCCTGAACCTTGCATTCTGAAGATTGTACACTTGAATAAAAATATGAAGTTACTGATCATTTTAATGCACTAATAGAACTGTAAAGGAAGTATTTCCATGGTTTAAATGCAATGCACTACCCAGATGTAGTAACAACTACATATTTATTCAGTCATCTCAAAGTATCACAATAGTAATTTGAGCAGCATATCCAAAAGTTCTGTCAGATAGATAGATCCTTAAAAATGAGGATTTAAAGATCTAAGAATATTTATTTAAAAATCTGGTAGGTTACAGTCTCTTGTCAGAGAAAGAGCAAATATATGATAAGAATTATAAGATTATTACACTTTATTTAAGTAAGCAGGTCTGTGGCTCTTTCTTGCCTTAGCTATAAGTTTAGGAATTTCATTAAAATATTCCCAAATTATGGGTTTGACGACTCAAACCTTGTCTCCCGGTAATTGCCTTGGCTAGTCCCTACAGTTTTCATGGCAAGATTTCAGAAGTGGTTTCCCCTTGCCTCCTTCCCAGGGTTGAGAAAGAGGGATTGGCCAGGGTCACCCAGTTGGCTTTGTGATTCAGGCAAGACTAGATCTCATAAACTCACAATTTCTAATTCAGTGCCTTAATCATGATGCCAATCTGTTTTCTCAGGACCTTATATTACCTACCGTATTTTTCAGAGTATAAGAAGCACCTTTTCCCCCCAAAAAAGAGACTGAAAATCTGGGTGCATCTTATACACTGGATACAGCACTTTTGGCCTACCAAAACCCCGCCCCTTCGCAAAAATGGACGTGTAGAGGGTTTGGGAGGCCTGCAAAGTGCTCCTGGGGGCTGGGGAGGGCAAAAATGAGCAAAAAAGTGCCGTTTTTGCCCCCCCCAGCCCTTAGGAGCACTCTACATGCCTCCCAAAGTTCTGCATTCCCCCCCCCCTTTTTTTTTTTTGGTTGCAAAAAACGAGGCATGCAAAGGGTTTGGGATGCCTGCAGAGTGCAAAAACCTTTTTAAAAAATGTACCTCTTCAAAATCTTGGTGCGTCGTATACTCCAAAAAATACAGTAAATTGTGACCCAAGATATGTAAGATTTGGTTTGTTATGGTTCCATTTTCTGACTACTAACAATCTCCTTCCTTCCCCACATCCCAAGTGCCTTTTTTGGCAATGACTTTCTCTTTATCTCAGCCAAGTCTGAGTCTTCCTTTGCATTCTCTCCATTATCTGCTTTTAGGACCCAAGCAGTAGAACTGGACCCCTCACAAGCCTGCTATCTTTTCCATACCATGTTGTCTTCACTGGATGATCAGATCGGACGTCTGGCGTTGGGCGAAGAGAACAATGCTAACATGTTACTCAAGCACAACTTACGCCGTTCCAAATTGCATCTATCGGTATGCATAGAACACGTATGGGTGTGTTCCTGCACAGCGGGAAAGGGTCAGAATGAAACGGGAGCCTCCCTTCAAGATATGAAAGCCGGAGGAAGATCTGAAGGATAAAAGAGCTTGACATTTTTTAAATACAACCATCTATCTAAATGTTTCTTAACCATGGCCACTTTAAGATGTGTGGACTTCAGCTCCCAGAATTCTCCAGGCAGTCATGCTGGCTGGGGAATTCGGGGAGCTGAAGTCCACGCGGCCAAGGTTGAAAAACACTGACCTATGTAGTTTAGACCCTTATCCTTGCTGACCAAGAGAGACAAGATGTGTGCATTTATTGAGAAACTCTTAGTTGCCATGTGGGCCTTTCCTGTGCTCATATGATGGCCATGAGGACAGCCGTGTTGGCGCAGTGGTTAGAATGCAGTACTGCAGCCTACTTTTGCTGCCTGCCGGCTGGCTGCAATTTCACAGTTCCAATCCCACCAGGCTCTAGGTTGACTCAGCCTTCCATCCTTCCGAGGTGGGTGAAATGAGGATTCAGATTGTTGGGGGCAATAGGCTGACTCTGGAAACCGCTCAGAGAGGCTCTGAAGCAGTATATAAGTCTAAGCGCTCTTGCTATCCTGGCGAGATTTCATACCTCAGGTAGGAAAAAGAACGTAGTTAGTGACAGTGGAGATCTGCCTAGAAAGAAGAAACCAAAGGCCATATCTCGTTTTACACTAGAGCTACCCAGATGACCTGCAAGTGGTGATTCCCAAAAGGTCAGGTGTTCTCGGCAGCAGATGATATGAAAAGTTTTTATTTGGGGGTATAGCCTTACACTTTTCTATCTTGCTGTGCCCTGTCTTCCAGAGCAAGTACCAAGATCATCCGCAGGAACTAGCCATTGCCATTGATGCTCTACTGAGACAGGAGAGAGCAATTCTGTCTGAAGCCTTTTCTACCTCTCAGGTAAAAAGCAAAAACCTGCTTGGTCTTCTTCTGCCTGCCTTGTGCAGTCACAAAACATAGTCTTCTCCATCTAGCAATATTGATTTATCAGCTTTGATTTACCAAATGCCCATCTCATCCCAGTGAAAGGGGGGGGGGGGAGAATCCCCTCCTAATTATTTTATTTATTAAATTTCTATGCTGCTCATTCTCGCCTACAAGGTTGGCTCTTGATGACAAATTCTCAGAAGGTGACAATTTCCCCAAGAGTTTGTTTTAAACCAGTAACCAACCCATAATTCTACTGCACTATGAATTGGTTTATTACATTTAGTCCTCGACTTACAACAGTTCACTTAGTGACTGAACAAAGTTACAACGGCACTGAAAAACCATTTTTACATGGTTACGATCTTTGCAGTGTCCCGATGATCAAAATGCAGATGCTTGGCAACTAATTTCTATTTAAGGGCGTTGCTGTGTCCCAAGGTCATGGGGTTCCCCTTTGTGACCTTCTGACAAGCAAAGTCAACAGGGAAGCCAGATTCACTTAACAACCGGGTTACTAACTAATCAACTGCGATGATTCACTTAACAACTGTGACCAGAAAGGTCATAAATCGGGGCAAATCTCACTGAACAAATGTCCCACTTAGCAACATAAATCTCGGGCTCAATTGTGGTTGTAAGTCAAAGACTACCTGGACTAAATGCCCGTCCCACCCCATCGGGGAAAAAAACCTCTCTCCCAATTTATTTTATTAATTTTCTATGCCGCTCATCTCTCCTCCAAGATGACTTTTGATGGGAAATTGTCACAAGGTGTCGCAATGGTTAGAGTGCAGCACTGCAGATTACTTCTGCTGACTGCCGGCTGCCTGCAATTGGTAGTTCAAATCTCACCAGGCTCAAGGTTGACTCAGCCTTCCATCCTTCCAAGGTGGGTAAAATGAGGACCCAGATTATTGGGGGNCTCTGCTCGAGTGATCATAAAACGCCTAAAGTCATACTAGATGAGGCACGTCATTCTCCTGCCTCCTGTAGAGGGCGCTTTTTTAGAGGCTTTTTTAAACAGTTAAGCAGAGTCATCCACAATGACTCTGGCAGCAACTAGCTCAGCCTGACCTCAGCTCTTGCCTTTTTCCTTTTGCATTTTTTTTTTCTTTTCATGATGACAGTGGTGAGGCTCTGCCTCCCCTGCACGTCCCTGGTGGTGAAGGATTTTGACAACTTGGAAGAAACGCAAATCAAGAGATGTGCAATCTTGAATTGGATGAGGGAGAGGGGGGAAGAACAAACATAATTATTGGTATATGCAGGTCATGCCTTATGACTTTTTTCACACTTACAACCATTGTAGCATCTGCAGGATCATGTGATCAAAATTTAGGCCCTGGCAATTGATTCATATTTATGACCGCTGCTGTGTTCCAAGGTCATGTGATCACTTTTTGAGACCTTCTGACAAACAATGGGGAAACCGAAATAATTTAACAACCACGTTACTAACCTCATAACTACATTGGTTCACTTAACAACTGTAGCAAGGAAGGTTGTAAAATGAGCCAAAATTCACTTTAACTGTCTCGCTTAGCAACATAAATTTGGGGCTCAATTGGGGTCGTATGTTGAGGTTTACCTGATTTCTTTTGCTATTTGTCCATTATAAACTTGGGAAAGCCTATTGCATTCCAGAAGTAGTATTCTTAGTTAGATTTTCGTTCTATTTACAAAAAATGAGGTTTGCAATTTCCAACAGCCCCTATGCAATGTTCCTATGGGACAGTGGTGGGATTCAAAATTTTTTACTACTGGTTCTGTGGGCATGGCTTGGCTTGGTGGGTATGGCAAGGGAAGGATACTGTACAATCTCCATTCCCACCCAACTCCAGGGGAAGAATACTGCGAAATCCCCATTTCCTCCCGATCAGCTGGGACTAGGGAGGCAGAGAATAAATGGGGGCGGGGCCAGTGAGAGGTGGTATTTGCCGGTTGTCCAAAGTACTCAAAATTTCCACTACCGGTTCTCTAGAACTGGTCAGAACCTGCTGAATACGACCTCTGCTATAGGATTAGCCTCTTAAATAACCAAGGAAAATGAGAATTCCTTTGTAAAATCCAAATCCTAGGCAGTTTAACTGCACCAAGAATTTCTCCTATATTTATGCAAATGCTTTCTGCTTTTCATTACTTTTTGGACTGAGCTTAGTTATGCTGTCCAGATTTTCTGGTTTCTAAACTACAGAGATTTCCCGGCTTCGTATGTTTACAACATTTGACTCATTCTGACATTATTGTTTTGTTTTGTTTCACATCCCCTTTACTTTCATTCAGCTACGAAACTCATACGGTAATTATTTTAGCCCTATGCTGGCAGAATTTGGAAACGGAGCAAAAGTCATATATTTTCTACATTCACGAGGTTTTCATTTGATTTGCATTGCTCTCTTTAATCTTTTTTAAAATTTGATTTCTCTGCTCTCTTTTGCTCTCTTATTTTCAATCACTGAGAAGGCAACAAAGAGCTTCCTGAAATCAAAAGGAAAAAGCTACTGATATCAAGGGAATATTGTGGCTTAAATCATATGCCCTTTCATAGTTAGGCATGCCTCTTAGCATGTATTTACAAATGAGTATCGACTCCCTTGCAGTGGGATACCTTCTTTATGATTCTAGGGCAGGTTTCTGGCTGGCCCCATTATATGGGAACTAGTTTAAGTTCTGTATGTACAAATTAGCTTTTATCAGTTGCAGCAAGGAATTCCTTACTTAAACCTGGCAACTGATTACATGCGCGCGCGCACACACACACACACACAAGAACACAGAGAGAAACACACATGCACGTGCACTTTATAAATAGTAGGAGAAATGCCTACTTCAATAAGGAACCAAAACTTACAGATGAAGCAAAGTAATTTTTACTGGCATGCACAGCTACAGTATGAACTGGGCACTGGCCCAAAAGAATGCAAAAGAGCCCTGAACTAAGCAAGATTATGGGTTTATATAGCCATGGTGGCACAGTGGTTAGAATGCAGTATTGCAGGCTAATTCTGTCAACTGCCAGCAGTTCAATTCTCACTGGCTCAGGTTGATCAGCTTTCCATCTTCTGAGGTCGGTAAAATGAGGACGCAGATTGTTAGGGGCAATATGCTGACTCTAAACCGCTTAGAGAAGGCTTTAAAGTACTATGAAGCTGTATATAAGTCTACAGTGCATTCAAAAAGTATTCAGACCCCTTCACTTTTGTGAATTTTGTTATGCTGCAGCCTGATTCTATAATAGTTGAAATTAATTCCTTTTCACATTTACATTGGCATAAGTATTCAGGCCCTTTACAACAACACGTGAAATTTAGCTCTAGTGCCACCCATTTGTCTTTATTGCTGCTGACATGTTTCTACACATTGAACGGAGTCAACCTGTGGTTAATTAAATTGATCGGGCAACCAGCTCTTGGAAGAGTCCTGGTTGCACTAAACTTCTTCCATTTGAGAATTAAGGAGGCCACTGGGTTCTTAGGAACTTTCAGTGCAGCAGAAATTTTATTGCAGCCTTCCCCAGATCTGTGCCTTGCAATAATCCTATCTCTGAGTTCTGTAGGCAGTTTCTTTGACCTCCTCACTTTTGCTCTGCTACAGTGTGAATTATCAGCTATGACACCTTCTATAGAGAGGTGTGTGTCTTTCCAAATCATGTCCAATCAATTTAATTTACCACAGGTTGACTCCATTCAAGGTGTAGCAACGTGTCAGCAATGATCAAGAGAAATAGGAGGCACTAGAGCAGGGGTGTCAAACTCCAAAGCCCATGGGCTTCTTCAGCTTCTTGGATGAGAAGCGAAACCAGAAAGTCCAGTTGCCTCTTGAAAAAAACACCTTTGGGATTATATTGCTATTGTTATTATATTCCTTCAGAAAGGTTACATAGGAATGATCAAGCAAATTAAATCATACTGTGACTTTAAGGCGGAATGTCACATCTGATAACACTACAGGATGACCTTGCTTTGGCTGCCTTAGCATCTTTACATTTTTCCTACTAATGGGACTCTAATCCACCCTAATTATAGAAATTAACCTCATCATTCCACACTGGCTTTACAATATTTTACTGCCTTCCTTCACACTAAAAGAAGGAAAAACCATGGTCTCATTTCTGTTATTTTCTCCTCTTTTTTCAGGGAGCTTTAATGTAGCAGCTCCTTGGTATTCATCTTTTTTGTACTTATGCCACCCGTCACATATGACAACTCCATGTAAAATGTATTTTTTATTTTGAACTTCATGTAGACCCGGGATGGCGAACCTATGGCGGGGTGGGGGGGGGGAATTGAATTGAATTGAATAAGTTTATTTATAGGCCGCCCTTTTCCCTGAGGGGACTCAGGGCGGCTNCACCTACTGCTTTGGTGACTCCATCCAGCCACCTCATTCTCTGTCGTCCCTTTCTTCTTTTGCCCTCAAACTAGCTTGCTAGATACATCATTTCAGGTTGAGGCAAGCCATAGAATGGCTTAGATCACACTTTATACTAACTATCATGGTCTGCTTGAACTGTGCTTGAGCTAACAGTGGCTGAGTTACTGCAATTCTAAACCCTAAATTGAAGTTTGCGACCTATACTGGCTGGATTCCCAACTATAGTAATCTGCAAATGTTATAACTTGGTATAATGTGCACTAGACCACTGGCTTTTTCAACTAACCATGATTAAAACAAAGCATGGAAATGTGTGTGATGTTTAAACCAAGCTATTTCATTTTTAGTTTATTATAATTCTATTCCCATATTCGTACTTCATGTACATAACAGATACAGGAAGGTGAAATTAATTTTGCACCTATTCAAATTATATATTAGAAAAGGCTCACAAACCCTTGGTCCACAGCCCATTACCAGGCTGTGGCCTATTCAGATCCGGGCCACGCGAGAGGCAGGCTGATGTGCATGCAGGCAGGCAGCTCCACTCGCAAGTTTAGTGGGTCAGCGCACATACACGAGTGGAGCTGCGTGTGTGTGTGCCAGCCTGCCTCTTGCACAGCCCAGTTCCAAATAGGCAACAGCCTTGCAGTCAAACTGTGTGCTTTGCACATGCATACCAGCCCACCGCTCGAATGGTCCGATTCCCCTCTTTCCCCTCTCCAAGCTGAGTTACCAGGCCACAAAGATTGGGGACCACTGTATTAGAAGGATATTCGTATTGTTTAGTTTGTCAATCAAATCAAACCCCTGAGGAATGAGGGGCTTAAGGGTAAAGACAGGAGCATTTTGTCTCCCAGAAATCTCTCATTTGCATCTTGAAACATGTACCAGGAAGTGGGTCAAAATTAGTTTCCCAAGCAGTTTGGAGTTTCTTTGGGGCTTATAAAGAGAGGAAATGGAAACAGACATTTCATTTTGAACAGGAAACCAAAACAAAAAAACCCCTAATTTTATTGGCACAAACCTGTTTTGGGACACTTCAAATGCAGTTCAATGCTGTTCCTGATTGGCCTCCTTTGTATTGAGTGCATCCCTGTTGTTGGTTCTAGCTGCGCATCACAGAATGGAGATTCATCCTGAGGTCCTGTCTTTTCAATGTGTCCTACTAATTGTTATACTTGTTCAAAACTCCTTGCTTGGTCTGTACTTTGACGTCTGCTGTATTCCACAGGGGCTGAAATGTTCAATTGAGCACCACAGCGAACTGCAGGATCATTTTGATTTTTGTTTTCGGACACATAACCATTTAGGTGAGGAAACTTAACGAGCAGTTCCTTTATTTGGAAACCACAATGGGAAAAGGGCAGGGTTTTTTGTACGTTGATGATGGATGGTTGAAGTCTTTCCAAAGAAATTGCTCAAGAGTTTTGAGGGATTCATTATCCAGACAAGTCGCTTAAAGAGCTCTGCAGGATATTGAATAACGTTGTCCAAGGATACAACTTTATAAGGGTACACCTCTCCCTTGAAAATCACCTGAAAATAGCCAAAGCCCATGGCACACGGAGCCATCTCTGCGGGCACACAAGCCATCACCCAGGTCAGCGCCACTGTGCACGCATGCATGCCTCCCACTGGCCAGCTGATTTTCGGGTCTTTGCAGGGAGACACGCGTGCATGTGCTGGGGGTGGGGTGGGTCAAGTGTGCGTGGGGTGGCTGGGATGTGGCGCCCCTCCCCCTGCACCCCGTTTTTTGCTTCAGGGAAGCCTACTAGCAGAAAAACAGCGGTCACGCATGCATGTGTGGGTGCAGGGCCTGCAGGGGGCATTGCATTATGAGTGTTGGCATGCACATGCTTTCGGCACCCAAGGAAAAAAAGGTTCGCCATCACTGGCTAAAGCTATTTAGATTTGCAATAGTGGTGAATATCTGTAGCTCGTGTGTACAGTAAGGGTGAAAGCTCGTTCTCTGAACTTGTGGGTTGGTTTCCAAACGTTTCGTTAGCAGGCTAGGTAACATCTTCAGTAGAGTTTAGGGGATTACTTAGCCTGGTAAAGAAACATTTGAAAACCAGTCCACAAGCTTGGAGAACGAACCTTCACTCCCCCTTTCATTTATGAACATGTCAGCCAGCTGTATGTCCTTGCTAGCTTGAGACTTCAGGTCCTGCAGCGTAGCCACGACTCCAAGCTGGCTGGACAGTATGCTTATTTTACCTATTATCCAAAGATGATTTAGGGAGAATGGGTAGCTCTTCTTTTTCTTTGATCAGACACTTGTCAAGGACACCCAAACTTTTGTTTTACAAGTGGAAAAATTATTGATCGATTGGACTTATTAGTTCCCATTTTGTTTTACCATTAGTTATGTGGTATGTAACTAATGAGAGTCCAACCATCTTAATGTTTTCTTTCAATAAACATTTGTTGGTGTTTGGAAAGAGAGAGACGGGGCAGCTCTTTTGGACTGAGGATGAGGCTCGCGTAGCAACATTAAACTTTTCAGAGCTGGTGTTAAACAATACTAGACACTTGTAGCTCTGATCTATGGGCTTAGAGGGAGTTCATGGCCAGCACAGTGCCAATATATAAATTGGAATACTAAGTAATTTTGAAATTAATCCGATTACAGAAATTTAGATTATATACCAATGTTTCCCCAAAAATAAGCACAGGTTTTATTTTCTTTTTGGCCCCAAAATAAGCACTAGGGCTCTTCTTGCTTGCGGCCACAAAGGTGCAGAAGGCCGAGCGATGCACCGGTTCCACAGCCACAAGATGGGTGCATCTACATCGGCTTACCTCAGGGTGTCTGCAGCCAGGCAATCAACACCCCGATGCCTGCCTCATCTCGCAGCCATGACATCAGCACACCGCTCAGGCTCCTGCTCCATTACGGCCACAAGCAAGCAGAAGAAGAAGGCCGGGAGCCAAGTTGTGAATGCTGCCGCCATGAGGCAGGTATCTGGATGTGGATGGCCTGGCTGTGGGGGCCCTGAGGTAAGCTGGTGCGGGGCATGTGGGGCTCCACCTCCACCTCGCCTTGCGGCCGTGGCACCATGAGCAACCAGACGGAATGGATGGCCAGCCGATTGTGCAGGCGTTTAAGTAGGGCTTATTTTGGCCGTAGGGCTTATATTGGGCACAACATTAAAAACATACTAGGACTTATTTTCAGGATCGGTCTTGTTTTCAGGGAAACGGGGTACATAAGGTTGGTAGAAAAAGATGCCGCTTCCCCCCTAATCCAAATGTTTGAAATGTCTTAGAGGATGTCATTCTTGGGCCCTATTGCAGATCCTGTTGTACCGCAGTCAGCTTAGGGAGTCAAATCACCCATCCTAAACAGCTCCTTACTAGAGATGAATCCTGCTTCCTATCTGTTCTTTTCAGACAGGAAGTTCAGAGGGACTCAATGGCTCCCTCAAAACCATTGACAACTTTGGAGAACTAGCAATCAACGCTCAACATGAGAACAAGTTCAGCGTTAGAGTCAGTGGTGGGTTCCAAGCGGTACGGCCCAGTATGGTCGTACCGGTGGTAGCTGGGAGCAGCGGCCACCGTACCGGAACGATAGCTCGTTTTGTCCGCTCGCCCACGTTCCTTACCACTTTTTGAGGCAAACGGGCCAATTGCGCACGTGCGCACAGCATACAGCACCTGCGCGACCTCCACTGAGCAGCTGGGTGTCGCAGAGCAGTGGCGTGCACATGCGCACATGCCCGACAAGGACGCCAGGCCCCATCACAGCGTACCAGTTGTGACGGGATCCGGAACCCACCATTGGTTAGAGTCCTTCTCTAAAGCACCCTCTTTTCTTGCAGAAAAGACCAATCCCGCTATTGCACCTATTCGGGCCAAAAAGATTGAGAACTTACAAAGCATGTTAAATAAGTTGAACCACTTCCGCCAGGTGAGTATGAGTACTGGCAGGTACAGTAGCCTGATCCCCCTCCCCCTCTTTCATAGCTTTTTTTTTTTTTCCAAATGAAGTTCTAATTTCAGTAAATTTCAAATGCTGGATTTGAACTTACTAATGGAAAAAACATATTGCGTGTCTTAAAAGATGCAATTATATGTTTTTTTAACAAAAACCATACATGGAAATACACAGGTAGTCCTTGATTATGACTTAACTATTATTAAAAGTTATGACAGGCGCCCAACCCCCCCCCCCCCCCCAAAAGCTACTTTGAAGTTCTAATGTCACCCTTGCCTGTCCCTCATAGTCATGTGACTCCATTTGGAGTTCTCAGCAACCAGCCCAGTTTGCAGTGCCCAGAGTGCAGCGACTCATAACTGCAATCTATTGCAATTTTGCTGGAAACTGTCATTTAGTTCTGGTTTCTGGCAAAAACTGCCCTATAACTAACAATAGTTTTGGTTAAGGACCTGGGCCTTTGCTTAACAACCGCTGCAAAAAAGGTCATAAAATCAAGTCTGGTCCTGTCACCAGCTTTATGACTGTCATGACTTACAGCTGTTAATTGCCAGGTGTGAGAAGACAGGCTGCCTGCAAAATGGCCAGCACTTGGGCTGCTGGTGTCCTGTCTCCTTTAAGACTTCTCCCCAGCCAACCCAGTACAGGCAGTCCTTGACTTACGACTACAATTGAGCCCAAAATTTCTCCTGACAAGTGAGGCATTTATTGAGTTTTGCCTCATTTTTTTTTACCTTTCTGGCCACAGTTGTTACGTGAATCTGACTTCCCCACTGACTTTACTTGTCGGAAGGTCGCAAAAGAGGATCAAAGGACCTTGAGACACAGCAACGGTTATAAATATGAAGC